GAGAGAGAGAGAGAGAGAGAGAGAGAGAGAGAGAAAGAGAGAGGGGGAGAGAGAGAAACATACATACACAAACTACATCATTCTTCTGCCTCCCAGCCTTTCTTGCTTATGTTCAGCACTCAGCAGTTACATTTACTACTATTTCCCTGTATATAGTAAGTCTTTTATCCTCTGTGATCACCCAAGATTTTCTGTGGCAGTTGACTTTCTACTGTTTGACTGTAAGGTGTTGGTAGGTTACAGTAGGTTTGTTGTGGGATGTCTTTCTGTGTGCTGTGAATATATGTGACTGCCATTGGATAATAAATAAAGCTTTTTTGGCATACGGCAAGAAAGCTTACAGCCAGGTAGGAAATTCAAGCAGAGAGACAGAGAGAAGAAGGGCGGAGAGGAGAGAGATGCCAGCTGCTGCCCAAGGAGCAACAAGATGCCAGCAGACGAGTAACGCCATGGCCATGTGGCAATATATGGATTAATAGGAATGGGTTAATTTAAGATGAAAGAGCTAGTTAGCAATAAGCTGAAGCCATAGGCCATACAGTTTGTAATTATTATAAGCCTCTGTGTAATTATTTTGTAAGCAGCTGTGGGACTGCAGGGTCAGGCAGGACCCAGAAACACCCGGCTATGTAGGCTACTCTTCAGATTTACTTCTGGTTCAGTAGATTTTTAGATATGTTTTTTCCCCTTTTACCAATTTTGGGGAGGTGAAAGGTATTATTTCTTCAAAAGGTGAATTCTTTTACCACCCTCTTTTCTCCTTCTACATTTCTCATTCCATGAATTTCTCATTGCCTTTTTCTGGTTCTGTCTCACAAGTGTTTTCAGATCTTCTCATTTTCCTCCCACTTTTTTTTCTTTCTCTAATCTGAAGATTGGATGGTTTCTACCAACCTATCATCACCTCTACTAATACTTCATTCTCTTAACTCAAATCTATTACTGAGCACAAGCACTATGATTTTCATCTTAATTATATATTTCAACTCCATAATTCTATGTGCTCTTTTATAGAAACTCTCAGTTTTGTATTGAGACTTCTTATTTGCTTAATCGTTCTCATTTTTTTTTCTCTTTCATTTTGAAATGTTGGTAAAAGTTACTTTGAAGCCTTGGTCACATAGAAACTTGCAAGAGTCTGCTTAGGTTGGATGTCTGTTGATTGACTTGTTTTGTGTTCCTGAGTGTGGGTTATACTTTCTACTGAATATTGGATATATTTTAGTCAATATATTGGAGCAAATCCATCTGAGCTCTAATACTCTACTCTAGGCTACTCAAGCTTAGTGTCTCATCACAGCATGTATCCTTACCTGACGGATTTCCAATGTTCAGAAGTGAGTGGTTTAGAAAGAAAGATGGAGGATGCTGAGGATGGGGAAGACACAACAGAGATGAAGAAGGAAGAAGTTGAAAAGATGGAGGAGGAGAAAGATGAGAAGGACTAGACACAGCAGAGATTGGGGGTGAGAAGAAATAAAAGACTTATTTTTTGACCCTCAGGTTTTTTTTTACTGACAAAAGTAATGTTACAGGTTGTTGTGAGCATTACATAAAATTGTTTAGCTATTTAGTTACATTTTATAAATGCAAAACTATTACACAAAAACTATTTTCAACTACAATATTTTATTATGACTTTTTTCCTTTAGCAGACAGATAATTAGCTACCCCCAAATGTGATAATCTGGGATAAACAAAAAATGAACAAAGACCATGCAACTAGAAAAATCTATGTCCTATTTTATTGATATTCGTGAGAGACCTGCCCTTTCCTGGATAGAGATGGGAGAGGAGGGGATTGGAGGGTGGGAGCAGGGAGTTGAAGGAACTGGGAGAGGAGGATGTGGAGGAGACTGCAACCAGGATGTAAAATAAATAGATGAATAAAATAAAAAAATAACCCCCTCCCCCCAAAAAAAAGATCTATGTTTTTGGTTAACCAAAGGAAGGAGAAAAAGAGAAAAGTGTAAAATAGAACAAGAATGGGAATCTTACAGGAAAGAAAAGAGGAGAGAACAGCCCCCATGCTTCTCCCTCTGTCTCCCTGGAACAGCATCCCAAAGGTCACAATGAGGGCTGTTAACCTTGTAGTCAAAGTTTTCAAGATCCCTGGGAAGCCCAGCAATCAATTTATTCCAGCTCTGTAAATAGGACCCCTTAGAGAGTCCAGAGTCACAGTAGTTGGCAAAAGAGCAAAACCATTGACCTTCCTGCAAAGCAATGAGAGAGGTGGGGTCATGTCCAGAAAACGAATTTACTCAGGGCCTGTCTCCCTTTCTTACTGTCTTGCTGGGAGTGTGCTGGCAGAATACTGGCTTACTGGGGAATTTGGTTTTGCTTCACACTTAGCTGGATTCTGGTGGCTTCAGGGAGCCACAGTCTGACTAGAGATCCAAAGAATTGCAAAATAAAACAGAAATGGGAGTAACCCTGGTTTGTTCTGAGGCTGCCAAGAGACAAGAGTGGCAAGGAAAGGCAACTCATATGAGTCAGGGTAGCTGTTTTCAGCTTGCCATCTTGTCTCTGGAATGGCTTCTGGCAACTATTAACTCTTCTTAACTTTTGAAGAGCGTATCCACATTCATTATCTCAGTGTTTGATCATGAAAAATATTCCTAGACACCCCCAGGTCCTCTCTTATAATTTCACTTTGAGTATTTGAGTTTTATCTTCATAATCTAAAATGAATAATAAAAATGTATTTCATACAATATAAGCACTTATAAATGAGTCCGTCAAATCAGTTTGATACCCAAGCTTAAATCTGAGCTAATAATCACAAATAAGAAGTATTGTGCTAGTTGTTTGAACTAATAAGAAGAGAATAAATAATGCTTACTTACCAGAGGCCAAACATTGTCACTCAGAACAACTGGCACTAAAGCAGCCATCACCACTGAAAAGGACAATTCATTTTTATTTTTTTTAAAAAACTCTGACCCCTTCAGTTGCTTATTGGTTCTGTAATTTTGTTTTTATCTGATGTATGAATGTTATTTGTTTTTACATAATAATACAAGTATGTCTAGTTTTAATATTTATATTAGTGAGGACATTATAAACATAGTTCGCATCAACAATGTAGAGGAGAAACACAGACAAGGATATCAGTGGTGGAGAAGAGGGAAGAGGAGGAAAGAATAAAGGATGGATAGAAGGAAGAAAGGAACGAAGGAGCAAAGGAGTGAAGAAATTAAAGAACAAAGGAAGGGTGGGTCACCCTGTTGACTAAAGCCAGCTCAGACAGGTTGAATGACAGGTCCAAGGGGGAATCTCAAAAACAAAATCATTAGCCAGGAAGTGGACCTCTGGGCCACACCACACAGCTGCAACACGTAGGTTTCTTTACAAGCAAGGAAGGGGAAAAATGATCAAATTTAAGCATAAGAAAAACTGCAGGGGCAACTTCTCTTGCACCCACCCAACGGAGTAATCTCCCCTACTGTATTTCGGTAGATAGTATGTCAGCCTTAACGTAGAGAGCAACAGCAAAACTGCTCTGACCACCCCACCATGAAGCCTGAGCACACAACAGCATCACATACCAAAAAGGACAGCAGCATTGTAGTCACACATAAAACGTTTGAGCCACAACCCTGCCAGTAGCACAGATAAATACAGGTGGCATTTGTCAAGAGCACTGTTTTCATTGGTTCCTCACAATGCCCTATGATATCTTCCCACTTCACTAACTCTTACTATCCAGTTCTCATGAACTTGTACCATCTGTACAGAAGAAACACCTTCTGCAGATTAAATGGTGCCACACACCCCCCCAATATACTTGTCATAATCCCCAGAACTAGTCAATGTTACCTTCTGCAAGGAAGGGAACTGTGAAAATGTGAATAAATTAAAGATTGTGAATAGGGAGTTTGTCCTCGATATTTCTGGTGTCCTCCACATAATAGCTCTTGGAAGGGAGTAGCAGGGGGATCTAAGCTAGAGATAAGACAATGGGAGCAGAGACCATAATAACGTGGTTGTTGACTTTGAGCATGAAGACAATCATCATTGAAAGCTTGGAAGTGACTTGTAGCAGCTGGATGAGATCAGAACAGTTTCACTGCACCTTCACCCGATTCAAGGAGGCAAGAAGGAATAGCCAGTTGCTGAAGATTCTACTGGTGCTGAGCAGGGAAAGCATCTCAATGGTGGGAACATCATTGTAGGTGGGAAGAGTTACGGTGGAAGAAAACACCATTGCAGTATTAGAAAGCATGGAGGAAAGCCTATAACAAAAAGTGGAATTGCTTGATTACTGATAAGTTATATTAAAGTCCAAGAAGGGATAATGAGATCCAGGAAACGCATGGCTAAGTCATCAAACTGACCAAGGTGCCTTTACATTTTCCATGGCTAAGAATATAAACTTACTGAGATACCCCTCTGCTATATAGTAATATGTTGAATCAATCATCTGAACACTCACACAGGGTAGATCTCTTATGTCAATGTCAAGACTCTGGTAAGGAAATTTGTGTTCCAGAAACAAAAGATGTGGATAGTTGGATAAATGACCCTTAGCTTGTTAGTTCTGCTAGCTCTGCTTAGCTCTGGGAGCATGTTGCAAAGGCTCATGCTTCCCCAGAAAGAGCTAAAATTTTTGCTACATGGTAGATGTTATAGAAGACCAAGACCCTCTTCCAAAAGGCAGCAGGTGCCTCTCACAGGAACAACTTTGACTTCCTTTCCTGGATGCAAGGCTGATAACTAGGACTAATCTGGGCAATGAAGAAGGAAATGACTCTATAGCAAAAATATCCAAGGATTAGCAAGTTTCATTAAAGCCAGGCAATCAGAACTAGGACTGGAATTTAAAGATGCTTAATCAAAAGGATCATAATATAAGGCTAGATAAGGAGCAATGCCCCCATTGGGATTTATTGTTATTATTATTATTATTATTATTATTATTATTATTATTATTATTAAACATCATAGGAGGAAATTGGGAAAGCTTGCTACTGGCCTGTGGAGTAAAAGAGGTTCTTAGAAGCCCAGATAAAAGAAAGCTAAAACTGGTGACACGAAAATGCCTGCATGGTCCAGGAAGAAGTTAAAAGGAGCGAAGAAGCAAAGGAAAGTGAGCACACTAGAATAGGCCTGCTATGGAAAGCCAGAGCCAAAGCCCCAAAAGATCATGGCTTATGGAAGGACCTGGAAGGTAGTCAAGGAGGCTTGCCCTTAGAGGAATAGCAGAGAGGGTTTACAGAACAGGGTATAAGAAAAAAGAGATGAGCCAATATGACTAATCATCAATACCCCATGCAGTAGCAGTGGAGAATGAGGTATAAGGATGCTCACCCTATCAACTTGCTATCCCTTGTTCAGCACCATAGCCTGTGTCCATATTCAGATTCTTAAACATTCTGTTCATTGGCAGCCATTGTTGGATTAACTGGACGGCAGCCTGTAAGTCATTCTAACAAATTCCATATATATATATATATATATATATATATATATATATATGATATTGATAGATAGATTGATAGAGAGAGAGATGGATTCATCCTATAAGTTCTGTTACTCTTGAGAACCTTGACTAATACAATTAGCCTCTATATTTGGTCCTTTTTTTTGGAGAAAAATGTTGTCACACTAAGAAAAACCAAACAAGGATTTCTGAAATAACCCATCACTGTTCATAATATCAAATCAAAACCAGTCTCTCATGCTGGAGCCAGTTTCAGAGATCAGTGCTATCCCTAAAGACCTTCTGAATGCAAGAATGATGCCACCCTTCTAACTTCTACTCACCTGGAAAATTCAGCATGTACAGACACTGGTGGATGCTGATAAATGGCTACAAACTAGTATAGGCTTAACCCAATTGAGGCATTAATCACAGCTACTGTGCCAAGATAGTGTTTTTGTTACAGAAGATTGACAAAGCTTCAAGTGTGTGCTATGTGGTCATGGATTTCATAGATGTATTCTTTTTTTATTATTCTGGCAGGAAAATAGAACCAGAAATAAGTTTGTACTCAAATGGGATGGAAAACCATATCCATTATGGCTTTGCTTCAAGACTATGTCACACCCTCTCCTAACAAGAGACATGATCATCCTAGTCATCTCATGGACATCACTGATGCCTACAGCGTTAATGGCACTCTGCTGCTCAGACAGCATAAAAAAGAGCTCTTCTGGGCCATCACCATAATACATAAATGCCCTAGAAGGTGGTGGATAGCTCTGACAAAGATTCAAGGATCTGCCACTATGGTAATGATTTTAGGGTATCCAGCAGTCATGGGTTTGCCAGGAGATCCCTTTCAAAATAAAAGACAAACCACTGAATCTGGAAAGTCAATAAAAGAAGGAATCCTAGTGCTTGGTAGGGTTGGGGGATCCAGGAGGAAATATTGCACATACAGGAACCTGTCCAACACATGCATGTGTTTTTAGTGTTCTGTCATTCAAAATCAGCTTTGAGTGGCAGAAAAAAAGGGGCTCTATGGAATTTACAGGCTACAGTGTAGTCCTACAACTTGAACCCCACAACCTGGAAGATGCTGTGGTGCAAGGACAGTGGGGAAAGACACAATATGGAGTTTGGGAGAAGAACAGAAGGAAAGTCACATAATCCTGGGATTCTAGACCAAGGTTGTTCTCACCACAATCAAGAATTACACATCTTTTAAGAAAATAGTTCCTAGAATAACACCAAGCCCAATAAAGAGAATGCTTGGCCATGAGGTATAAAGTGACCAAGTGCCCTCCAGTAGGGTTGATTGTGAAGTTCTGTAGGACCTGCCAAGTCCTGAGTCAGACATGCACAGCAGAAATCATCATACTGAGAAATGATGCATCTAAGACAAGTCTGAGTAGGATCCAAGCAGGCTGTGTGTACAGTGACTCAGAACCCCATGTCAACAACCACAGTCATGCCATCATTTTGCCATCCCAGCTAGCTCATACTCATAGTCACATGGGAAGCCAGTATCTCCAGCCAAAAGAAGAAGGAAAGGCCAAATCTTGGTTCCCGTATGGGCTGGTTTGGTACGTGTGTACAAGCCAAAAATGGACAGTGGTCAAATTGCATCTCCACTCACAGTAGCCAGGAATAGAGCACAGAAGGAAACATTTTCAGTCTATGGAAGTATGAACAATGTTCCTATCCATCTGTGAGTACACAGAGAAGCAACCCAAAGTAAGACAAGGAAATATACAGATTACTGGATACTCTCCAATCTCCCTGCCCATCTCACTGGCGTTCATCTATATCTATGCTTCTCATGATCTAGCAGAAAGATTTAACCAAATGTTTATCTGGATAATCTACAGCAAGTGAATGTATTTCTTAGGATGCCAGCTGCCTATCTGAGCTGCTAGAAATAAATGCCTGCCTTAAGTTACTATGTTGGGGGTAGAAGCTAAATGAGCTGTGAACAGCTTTGTATAGTTAAGGGCCATTTTTTTTTTCTGCTGAATTTAGCAACTCCTCCTATGGATGTCTACCTATAGGGGTCTTTGTTCAGCGTTACAGCTCAAACAAGAATGAGTCCAGCCCTCTCTTGTGGTCACCTTTCAGGGATATGGAGACTGCTATCCCTAGCCAACAGTCCCAGTCTTCAGTCAACAGCATCAAGTTCTCTCACTGTCAAGTAGATCATCTTTCCATTTCCTCCAGTTTCAGTGTTCTCATGAAACCAGGTATCCATACTGACTCCTGCCTGAGTGACAGTTCAGGAAACCAACGTTCAGGTTCATCTCAAGAACAGAAGGATCTTCATCTTCATGGCTGCCAAGATTCCATAGCTTTACCTTAGCACTTATTCATAATACCAATACAGCTGGATCTGGGCACCCATCACGATGTTTCTCCCAAGGCTCCATCCCCAATGGTCACCCTATGCTATACATATGTAGCAGTTTGAGGGTGAATTTTGCCATCGCTTCAGAATTTGAGTGAGGAATATCTGCCTTTAAGATTCCCTCACTGCCTTCTCATGTTAGGAATCTCTTTCACTCAACTCCTCACAGATGCCTGTAGCAAAACACTGAGGCAATTACCCACTTTTCATGTTCTAAATACCTGGAGTTTACTCACATATCTGGTGGCTCTGCTCCTCAGAAGTGTCCAGGCCCTTTGCTTAGCCCTAACTGCCCTGTATGTCACAACAGTTCCCAGTGATTTGGTACAGTTGTAACCAAGGAAACACAAGAGACTAGGAGGCTACTAGGAAAGCTTCTCCATGTGAGATACTTAATAAAGAGGACAGGGGAGGGGAGGGGAGGAGGAAGGAAGGAGGGGGAGTGAAAAAGGAGAATGGGAGTTATTTTATTAAAATATATGTTTCTTTGTTTGTATGTTTGTTTGTTTTCAGTCAAGGGTGCTTGCTTACCAAGGCACAATGTAGGGCATCAGAGTACAACCTTTTCTCTCTGAGCTGTCTCACTGGCCTGCAATCTGAGTTCTTGATAAGGTTATTGAATTGTAGAGTTCACCAACTCTGGGGCCACAGTGCTCTGTGACCCCCAAATGGAGGATTACGAGTCCCTGGTAGTGTAAGTGCTACCCAGCCCAGAGCTCATCCTTGTTCCTGGAGACCAATGATTGACACTCCCTTAGTTAGCTTCCCTGAGTTGCCCAGTATCTGCACTATAAATCCCTTTCAGCTATCAGATTTGTCCTGTTGGTTCCTGTGCCTTAAAACTGGAACCAGAATGAAGTCCCCTTTGGAAGATAAAGCGGCGAATACATGTGAGGGAAGGATGGTTGCACGTGTGTCACTTAGGCTAAAAACAAACGGTCACTTATGTATACGGAGGTACATTAATTGCTGAAATTGAACTAATGAAAGAGACGTAATTAGCTTCTGAGAGCCGAAGAAACCAAGTTGATCTCCTAATGAGGGCTGAATAGGCCTCTCATTAGCCACATGGCTGAGGACAGACATGGGTGCTGGGCTCAGAGGAAATGAACAAGCTGGAAGGCAGATGGGTTCAGGATGCCCTGGGTCCTGTATACTCCAAAGCACTTTCTATTGCAGGCTTCAGCGAGCCACTGAAGAGAGAAACAGGCCAGCTACATTCAGGTAGACATTTCTCCACTGCCCCCACTCCAGTTTGCAAATCTACTTCCTTCAAGTGCTTTTTGTCCTTTCAGTGAAAGGGACCACCAATTTGCCCCCAGGAGCACTTTGACTTTTGTATCCCTGGATATACAGTATGGATGGACCACCAGCCCAAGAAGCAGCCAGGGCCATTGCTAGGTACCACCTAGGCTCACTGAATTGATCTCAGTGGGTTATGGGATCCTGTGACTTACCACCTAAGAATCCATCAAAATATCATTAGCAAACTCTTGCCACCTCCCAGTTAATTGGCACTTTTATACAAGCCCTTGGGAAAATGGAAATGCTTGACCCAAATTAATAAATCTCTAATTTTAACATCACAGGCAAGATAGTTTGGGGATGGATAAAAGCAGGCAGGAGAGGAGCAGTTGTTTCACACAGATAAAGCCTGCTTTTTCCTGCGTAACAACAGGCAAGAGCCTTTCTTCACCGACCGAGTTTAGAATGCCTTCCACAGTTCTTCCAAACTTCATTTCATTAGAATAGATTCCATTTCTACCAGGATAAGCCCTGTGCTCGGGGCAAACATAGTGTCTCCTGTATGTCTCCATCTCCGGAGCCCTGCACAACCGCAGGGTCTCAGTGAAGTCCAGCCAGTTCAGTGCGTGTCAGCAAACCTTTCAAAACACTTGTTTGTTCTCCACACTGAGCTACATGCCAAATACACATCAACTTGACCTTTTCAATCAAGCATTGGCACATAAAGATGTGAAGTTCAGAAAAATTAAGCAACCTGTTTAAGGTCCTGCAGCTGGTCAAGAATGAAGCTACCCTCAAGTCTATCCTTTGCATATTAATTAACACTATGTAACCCATAACCGCTAAGTCATGCTAACTTCATATGCCACTTTGCATACAGGTTAAGCATGCTTCCTTCAAAAATGCTAAGCTGCACTAGTTTAACTACAACACCAGATACATCCTAAGCATCCTATTTGCCAGCATGTTGCTTTCATATCACCATGCTGCACATGGTATCCTGGTTAGATTTTTGTGAACTTGCCCCAAGCTAGAACCTCAGTTGCAAGAATGTTGCCATCAGAACATCTATAGACAAGTCTGTAGGGCTTTTTTTTTTTCTTAATTAATGATGGATGTGGGAGGGCCCAGACCACACTAGGGGCCATGTCACTTCACTCCTGGGCAAGTAGTCCTGGGTGCCATGAGAAAACAGGCTGAGCAAGCGATGGAGAGCAAGCAAGTAAGCGGTGTTCTTCCATGTTGTCTGCGTCAGTTCCTGCCTCCAGATGTCTGCCTTGAATTCCTGGCCGACTTCCTTCAGTAGTAGGTGGTGACACAGAGTTGTAAGCCAAATCAACCCTTTCCTCTCCACCTTGCCTTGGGTCGTGGTGTTTCATCACAGCACTAGAAAAGCAAAGTAGGTAAGCATGTTATCTGAGGAGCCATGCTGATTTCATCCCACCATAGTCCATGCGTGATCAAGAAGCCATGTTTATTCAGACAAGTAGTGCACCTTATACACGCTTCAGGAAGACCATATGGGGGTGGGGTGGGGAGAACACCACACTTCAAAGCTTTAACATAACGCATAGCTATTGCTTTCTCCTTTTCACATTGTCCTTTCTTTGTAATGAAAGGTTTCTCACTTCAGACCCATGCAGAAGAAGGCAAGGTGTGAAGAGTCAGGAGTGCAATGTGGTGAAGAGCATGGATTCTGGGGGAGGGAGGGAGGAGACTTCACCATTTAGATGAGGGCTAGAGTTGTCCCTGACTACTTGTTTCCTTCCACTCACAGGTCTTCATATGGTCACTTAAGTAAAACCAGAGAGAACACACACACCAGAACACACAAAGGAGTCTGGCACCAAGTTAGCAACAATAAATGTTAGTCATTACTGTTACCCAAATAATAATAATCACAAAACCATGAGCCCTTCAAGTTCCAAGGGACTATAGGCAGTATCAATTTTCACTGCCATGTGAGATGCAACAGCCAACTAAGATTCCTTAGTGCCACTTCAAGCTGTCTGTACCCATGATACAATCACACCTGTGAGTGACCAGATGATGTTTGAGGTCTCAATAGCCAGATACTTGACAACAGACGTGGATAATAGGAAGTGGAATTTTTTTTCAATCATTTATGCTTAATGTCCTTCTTACACAAAGTATGGATTTGTCTAAATTGTAAAGTGATCCTAAAGTGGAATAAAACTATTATTTAAAAGTGAATAAAGAAATATAATTTGGTATCATTTTCTCCAACTTCTGTTACTATCCCAGCACATTCTAAACAGCCTTCCTGTTATCCCTGAGTCTCAAATGAATTTACATACACTTTTTTTTCTTGGTAAATAGAGGACACGCTATAGACCCTAAAAATCTATACATTTGCGGAACTTAAGGATCTTACCAGACAGTGTGTGAAAGACATGAGGAGGCTGGGGATGTGAGAGGATAAGGCATGAACACCCTGGAAAGCTAACACAATAGGTTGTGTCTGGCACTCATATCCATGGTTTGCTCTCTGTGGCTTCAGTTACTCTTAGTCAACCAAAATCTCAAAATATTCTGTGGAAAACTCAATAAATGAGCAATTTATAAATTTTTTAAATTGCATGCTTTTCTGAATAGCATGCTAAAAATCTTGCACTGTCCTCTTTTTCAATGTCTAAAACATTGGTTCTCAGCCTGTGGGCCATGACCCTTTTCACATGACCTTTTCATAGGGGTCAAATATCAGATATCCTGCATATCGGATATTTACATTATAATTTATAACAGTAGCAAAATTACAGTTATGAAGTAGCAACCAAATAACTTTATAGCTAGAGTCACCACAACGTGAGGAACTGTGTTGAGGGGTTGCAGCATCGGGAAGGTTGAGAACCACCGCTCTCGGTGTTTCCTGCTTCATTTTAAGTTGTTTATTTATGACAATTCTTGCCATTAGTAAGTGGCTGGAAGAACAACACAATGGCTACCATTTAAAACAAGTAAAGAAGATGTGCCTGTATCCCATATACACTCCTGGCCATGCATATAGTAACCATGAAACCACGGCTGTGGTCCCAACCCATGAGTACTTGTCAAGGCTATAGATTTGTTTTCATATCCAGTTGGAAGTGGACTCACATGAGGACTGATAAAACCAGGATTGGCTCTCATCTGCTCAAGAAAAGGGCTTGGACTTCATCTAGAGGGAAGGATGATGGTGAACTCCAGTCCCTCAAGCCTTCTAGGATGTGCTTTCAGAAGGACACACAGCATTCTTTGTCCTACCCAAAAGAATGGGACAAAGGATTGAGGACTCTGCATACTGAGCCCTCCTCAGCACTCCTTATACTCTGCCCTATCTGTAGGCAAGATAGACCTAGTCCCTAAAAATCCTGTGATCATCTGATGCCACTGTTATCTTTAACTTCTGAAGAATATGTTTTTTTTTTGGGTTTTTTTTTTTTTTTTTTTTTTTTCCTGGAGCTCACTTGGTAGCCCAGGCTGGCCTCGAACTCACAGAGATTCGCCTGGCTCTGCCTCCTGAGTGCTGGGATTAAAGGCGTGCACCACCACCGCCCGGCCAAGAATATGTTTTTTAAGATAAGGTCTTATTTATAATCCAATCTAGCCTTAAAGTGGTAATTCTCTTGTCTCATCTCTCCTAAAAAGGTTTTTAAAAAGTTATAGATTAGGTGCCTGATAGAAACAGAGTCAGAATTTTACAAAGAAGGTATCATTTGGGGAGAATCTTACAAGACCTTCTAGATGCCAATGGGTAGAGGTAAAAAGTACATTCTAGAAGGAGAAAGCAGACTGAGGCAGCATTTGCCACACATCGGGATTTGCTAATTGGTTTTGTTCAGTTTTCTGACAGCATTTGTCCTCTGCCTGACCTGGCAGAAGTTGCCCCTAATTAAGGGGACAGACTTGATAGCCATTCTTGTCCTTCTGTCCCCAGCCTCCTCCATTACTTGGCCCTGTTAAATTTCCCCTTCCTTTTCTGCTCCCTCTCCAATTCCTGACTCCATCTATCTCAGTCTATCTTTTTTTTTCTCTCTTTAAGCCTTCTCCTCCTCTCACTTCATACAATGTAGACTGTATTTCATAACTGATATTTTTAATAAAAGAAGGAAATGAACAAGAGAGGAAAGTGGTTCTCTCGCTAAGTAGATCTATCACTATTTGAAATGCACATAAACTGAAAATCTCTCTCAGCAGAAAAATTTACCCCTAGCAACCAGCACCTTGCCTCGACCTGCAAAGTGATGAGGAGATAGACAGAGGAATATATATATATATATATATATATATATATATATATATATATATATATACACATATATATCATCAAAACTTTATGACTATCCTTATTTGCTATAAAACAGCACTGCACATGGTGAAAAAACATTAAAAGTCATATTAGAAAGGATAAAAATCTTACTCATAATCTTACCTGTGACCTGTACATTCTCTTGTCAATCCAAGAAAACTGTTAGTGATGTTCAGATTCCCTCCCAGTCTTCACCAGTATTCCCAGACTACGCATAATTATAATCACTAGTAAATTTTATTGAGCAGTGTCTATCCCTCCAAGGAACATAAGATGAAATATTTCCTTAGTGATACCAATTCCAGGCTTGTTCTCCAAAACCATAAAAGAGAAAAAGCAGTACCCTGCGCTTGGATCCATCCCACCTGCTACAGAACCTTTGGTGGCTCATGTTGGTTACTGTTTAGGATAGGAAAACACAGACTGTGGGAAATGTGCCTGAATTATCCCATTTTCTGTTGCTATGATAAAAATAACCAAAACTGAGCAAATCATAATTAAGAGTTTTGTTCCCCACCACCACCACCACCACCTCAGATTTTTGTAGACTGAGTAACCAAGGTCAGGTGGTTATATTGTTTGATCTCTGGCTACATGAAACCCTGGCAGATAGATAGCATCATGGCAAGAACCTGTGTGAGAAAGAGAGATCAGAAGAAGACACAGGAAGCTAGCGAACTGGAAGAGGCCAGCCTTTCTCTTTTAGTTATAATCCACCTACATAAGAAGTCACTTATGTAGCACTAACTATTTCTTAGGAGGATAGGGACCCCAATGGCCTAACCACCCTCCATTAGGCTCATCTCTTTAATAGTTCTACCATCCTCCACACCATCACATTGGGGAATAAGTCCCCAGCTCAAAACTCTTAGAGTGCATATTCAAGCCACAGTCAAATCTATGGCGGTACAAGTTAGATGACTCAATGACTGATGGAATTGGAGTGCAGAGCCTGTGGGTGGAAGCGGGCTCCTCATGGAAACAGAAAAAAGTCAATCCCAAGGATGGTAAGGATTAAAGAACCAGACTGTGACAGCTGTGGAGAGAAGAATTCCCTCTTCTCTGTCTGCTGCGGGTGAAATCGGGCCAATCTCCACACTGTGACAACTTCAAAATGCTGCTCCTGGTCACAGAGATGTAGAAAGTGTCCCTGGTGAGGAACCATCTGGAGAGGTCCCCAGATGCCCTGGATCTGATGCCCCAGACCTGTGCTGTAGTTATAAATTATTCCTCTTGTTGCTTTTCCTCTCTATCATTCCCTAAACTTTCAGTATGGATGCTTAAAGGTTGCAGAGTGGACTTGCTTATATGAATTAATTCCCTCAGGCTTCTAGAAAAAAATGACCACAAACTTGGCTTAAAACAATATGAATGTATTCTCTTGGGGTGCTGGAGGCCAAAAGTCCATTCTTAAAGGTGAAAGAACTGTTCCTCCATGAAACACTCAAGGAAGAATACTTCTCTTCACACATTTCAGCTTCTAGTTTCTGGATGGTTCTGAGCATTTCTTGGAGAGTGGCTACATTACTCTGATTTGCCTGTCTTCATGAGCCCTATTCTGATCCTGTAATTTTTTCTCTTCAACCCTTTATAAGAATACTTTTCACTGTCATTTAGGTTGATTGTACACCAAAATCCTTAGCCAAATTATTCTACAAAGATTTGTTCACATTAAAATCACAAAATTTTTCTGAGGGGGACCATTGGACCTGCTACCTATGATTGGTGTAATTAAAGGCAGAAACTGTACTGCTTTTGAGACTGAGTAAATAAATGGAGAGCAGTGTTACCACTCCTGTAGCCAGAGTCATGGGAACAGTAACACCAGAAGGGCACAGCTGGCTACCAAGGGGTTTCCAAAGGCACCAAGAATAACAGAAAAATCAGAGGAGATGTAAAGCCATGATAAATATGGAATCCCAGTCTCTGAGAATGGCTATGAATCAGCAGGGCAGCCATTAAGCACACAAAGCCTCTGTTACTGATTCCGGTCGGTTCTGAGTTACTAACCCTGTCTGACGGCTGACCTTGCCCTAGGACAAAGCCAATAGCAACTCTGAGGGAAATAGAGTACATC